TGTAACTTAAGCACGCTCCCTCTTTATCTGAAACCTTTTGATGTGATGGAGGAAGTATTAGTCCTCTCTGTGGTGTAACTAAAGTGGCTTTTCTTTAATGTCTGAGCCTGACCTTTGGTGATAGAGGCGGTCTGATGATGAGCGATGAGGTTGTCTCTTTTGCAGCATTTTTGTGGAACGAGTAAAAAAATTCAAACCAACTAATGGAAGGTTTTATTCCTAATTTTACCGGATTTCTTTTTAAGTCAAACAATAAAGTTGCTGAATTCTCATATAGACATAAAACCTCCATCAACAGACTGACTTTTAGACAATAGCCTACAACATCTTAAAGCTATGACTCATTTTGAGTTGTACTTTCGGTAGGATGGCGTGCCCTGGCAACCCGTAGGCTCATACACTGGTACACCTTTATATATGTGGCAGTTCTAAGTCTGCTCCCGATACTACCTCTGTGTTTTTATCATGCAGAGAAGCACCGCAGTATGTCCTCCTTCTAACTTTAGATTCTGCTCCTGAATGCTCTGGATTTGTTTGGACCAGAGAAGGTAGGCGCTTTTAAGACACCCCCCACACAACCGTTTTGGACGCCCCTCGGTTTGTCATATATGAGAGCAGTTATCAGGTCAACAGGTGTTGCAGCGATGGAAGCGGTCAAGAGAAGTGGTTCAGATAGAAGTGATTGTACCCGACCTAAAAAGCCTCTGCATGTTTCTAATAAGCTCCACGAGCAGAAACGTGCTCAAACTAGGATCAATATTGGAGATGCTTTTGAAAAATGGAGAGAGGTTAGAACACAGAAAGGTTTACAGACCCATGCAGAGCTGGATAAACACTGAAGCTTCAGAGTCCACCACATGGTGACCTGAGTGAGCATCCACTCTAGAGAGGAGGGGGGGGGAGACAGCTCTCTATGATGTTCAGAATTTAGACTGCAGTACCCATTTTAAACACTAGGGGTCAGAGCTACATACTGCTCCTTTAAATTGTGTGAAACCTGCAGGTCACACACACATCAGGGATCATGGTTGAGCACGTGTTCTTGCTCTGATGTGCAGATATGTCAGGCCGAGCGAGAGAAGAAATGTGTGTTATAAACAGTCTGCGTTGTAGCCGAGTCAATCTCTGTGTGAGCTAATGAGCAGATGGAGAGGGTCACTAAGACTCAGGGACAGACACACAATACCTTTCTCCTTTCTGCGGTAATCAAACGACACACACACACACACACACACACCACACACACACACACACACACAACACACACACCACACACACACACACACACACACACACACCACACACAACACACACCACACACCACACACACACACACACACACACACACACACACACACACACACAACACACACACACACACACACACACACACACAGCCTATTATTCAAGGGCAGAGAGGGAAGCAATTGAGGAAGAGAGCATTAGAGGAACGGCTAAACACAGGCTGGAGGCTGCACTCAGGTTACAAATGAGGGTTTCTACCTGAGTCTTTCTCTGCATAACTCTGTGAAAGACCACCTGGAAGCACGTACTTACAGAGAGTGAGGCTAAAGAAGGATGTAACCAGAGATACGTGTGTGTAAAGGTAAATAAAAGCAGTGTGTGTGTGTGTGTGTGTGTGTGTGTGTGTGTGTATAAAGGGCTTACCTATAGATGCCTTCCACCATGATGAGGATCTTCTTCCAGGGTCTGTGGGTCCTAGGCTGACCTGAGACCACCGCTTCTCGTAGCATCTTCTCCAGACTGTGCATGTCTGACACACACACACACAAACACACACGCAGAACAGAAGGAGGAAGAGGAAAATAAGGAAGAAGAGAAAGTGGCAGAGGAGAAGGGGGAACAGGGGGACAGGAAAAAGGAAGAAGATGAGAAAGAGGAGATATGACAGAGGAGGAGAAGGAGAAAGAGAACAGAGATTTCATCTTTAGTTCAGTATTCAGAATAAACAGATTTAGTTTACATCGATGTTCATATTTACAGCGTTGACAAACAGTCTCAGTGTTCTGATCCTCTGAGTGAATCATCAGAAAAGTAGAAATGTTCAAAGAGTTTCAGATTGAGCCGAGCTTTGTCCAGTTGTTTGTGCAAAGATCCGTTCATTTGATGTTTTTGTACAAAGTTTAGAATCAAAAGTTTCATTTTTACAAGACATGAGAGATGTTTTTGTGTCAAATATTTTGGGCTCTGGTTTCAGGGATAGTGAAAAACTGCACTGACACTTTTGTGCACACGCCAGCAGATGGCAGTGTTGAGCTGTAGGAGGAAAATTCAAAGTCTGACTGCAGTCTGAACATTTCTGGAGCAGTGGTTAAACACCACGTCACAGCTGCTGATCATCTGTCAAAGATGATCTATATCGCTCCATCAGCACAGGAACCGGTTCTCTAAAGAGTCGGAAATCATCAGGTTCACAATGTCTCTAAAAAATCAACATAAAGGAGACCTAACAGGGAAAGAGCACACAGGGCTGCCCTCGGCCAAAGTGATGACCCCCCTACAGGCGGGGTCACAAGACACACAAAATGTACGGTGACCCCTGAGTCTGATTCAAACACAAGTCATCACATAACAAGCAAATTGAACAAAAGATGTTTACCTAAAATATGTCACTCCAACCTGAAACCATTATTAATTTTCCCCGAGACCAGCTTCTCACACACAGACGCCTGAATTACACACATGCACAAACAGGACCTGTGGACGTACATTCATGGAGAGATGTCAGAGTGGGCGGGGCTTCTACACAGGGAGAACTGCAAGGCAGTGCCCGGTGACCTGGCACCTCTCTAGAAACCAGCCTAACTTCCACACCATGGTCCTTATCGGGACTCCTTGTCAACAAATATATAATAAAATATGAGTAGCAGCTAGACAACTAGCTCAACAAGAGTCCCTGAAGTGTTTACAAACAGTAACACTCCTTGTCCCAGTAAACAGGAGCAGAGCGAGTGGAGTGTGCACTAATTGATCGATTGCGTCATCTCGCAGCATGTGCGCAAATATGAGGGACCCCCCCCCCCATATCTGTTGAGGGAGGGGCGGGCCCGTGTGCACAGTCAAGAACGAGGAAGACATTCACAGTTAAGGACTGATTTAAGATTAGCCACAGTCTGATATGAGATCCTGCATTACTCAGCTCTATCCGTGACATGTCATTATCTTTTCATTGGCCCTGAGGCTGCACAAATGCTACAAACTTTTTCAAAAAAAAACGCAAACACTTGTAAGCAATTGAAAGAATTCCGGCCTTCAGAAGGAGTGTCCTTTATCTGCAGTTATTTGAAGTATTTCAACAAACAAGCCTGACAGCGACAGACCGGACAAACCAGTTCTGCTGCCTCTGAGTATGAAACTGCATCTCTGTCAAAGATACCACAGGGCAAATATCTCCAACAGCAAAAACAAAGGAGCTCAGAAAATTCAGAGTCAGGCTGCAACAATGAATATTTAACTGTGTTACTTAATGATTCTTTACTTATGAGCTGTTGTGGTTCACTTGATTTGTTTAAACACATTCATTACCTCTTTGTTCCCCGAGTGTTTTTAAAGGTTTTGCTCTGTGATCTTAGTGTGTGCTGCAGAGTTCCAATAAACTAGATTATTTTGTAAGTATGAGAGAGAATAGAAACAGTGGCTGCATGTTGGTGCAGTGGTTAGTGCTGTCCCATCACAGCGAGGAGGTTCCAGGTTTGAATCCCCGTCTGCATGTTCTCCCCGTGCATGTGTGGGTTCTATCCGTCTTCCTCCCACAGTCCAAAGACATGCTTGTTAGGTTAACTGCTGACTCTAAATTCAGTGAATGTGAGTGTGTCAGGTTGTCTGTCTCTATATCTCAGCCCTGTGATTGGCTGGTGACCAGTCCAGGGTGTAACCCCGACTCTTGACCAATGACAGCTGGTATCGGCTCCAGCCAACCATGACCCTAAACTGGAAAAGTGGAATAGATGAATAGATGCTTCTGCGTCATGTTAATTCATTGTCTGTTGTGGTTTCTGCTGTTTGTGCTTTCATGTAAACGTTGTCTCTACAGCGATACCTTGCATGTAAAATTGAGTATTCCTGTTCAAACAAAGGTTGAACATTGTTTAAAAAGAATCCCTCTTGGTATGTAGAAGTGGCCTTCACTAATAACAGAGAGCCAGAGTTTCTTGCTCGGGGTTTCTGGAGGTAGGGAGGGGTCAGCCGCTCAGGAGCCTGAGGGCTGTGTGCCTTCAGACGGGCTCCTGGGACGCGCTCGCTCGGAGGACCCATAACCGACTCGGCTTGTACCTGTCAGGACACATTTGCTGCCAGAACACCGGCTCCTTCTAACTGTCTCCTGAAAGAGCTGTGCAATGCGAGCATGATGAACGTTGTATCATGGAGGCTTCATACTCTCCCTTATCATCTATTCACAATATGTAATTTGACAATTTAATAGTGAACAGATGGTTTAAGTAAGAGGCCATTTTCATTTAAATAGACTTCCTCTTTTTGTGCTGCTCGGCTGCTGATGGATAAAACACAGTCGTGACTGTAAACTGAACCCATTTCATTAAAGCCTTTTTTTACATTCGCTGCTGTAAACACTGAATTTTAAGTAGGTCTTCCCAGAGGCAAATCCTGCACCGCGCACAAAGTACTGAGTGTCTCACAGCAGCAACAGTTTGGAAGAAATGGAAGAAAAAAAATGCATGATGTGAGGAGAGTGTGCTGAACAAACAAAAATTCAAACAGCATCAGCAGACAATCTCTGGCAAAACGCATCGAATCAACAATGTTTGACTGGCATCGCCTATAACTGAAATAACAACGTGTTGCTGCGAGGCAGATGCAAACAAGACGTATGTTAGTGGACTCACTGTTGTGTTTGAACACCCGGATAGTCGCCCCTGACAGTCTGGCCCCGAGGATGAGAGACGTGTGATTGAGCTCATCACTCAGAATCAAACAACCCTGAAAATCAGAAGAGAGAAAAAAGTATCAAAGTAAGAACAACCGGTTAGTGAAGACTTTTTTTTTTTGTCGTGCAATAATCTGAGAACATATTTTAAATCGTTTTCTTTTGATTCTTTGAGGATTTTTTCAAGACCTCGTCAATGCACGGGCGTCTTAAAGAAGTCGTTCTCAACTGCTGAGTCCGGACCAAAGGTTATAACATTTTTTATTTCACTTTTTGTTCCTTTTTGTCTTTATTAGATCGGACAGCCGAAGAGAGACAGGAAATGTTGGGAAGACAGAGAGCAGCAAAGGGCCGAGGTTGGATCTGAACCCGGGGTCGCTGCAACAAGGACTACAGCCTCAGGCGTGGAACCTAACCGCTAGGCTATCCAGCACCCCTCGCTTTGACTTTTTGTCGTCAACGAGAGGATCGTTTTATTTAGTTTAGCTGATGATTTGTTAATTCTGCTGCTCGTCCTCTCACAGACTCCGGCACCTGTAACCACCCCTGCCCCGTCCTCCACAACCTCCACTGGCTCCCCCCTCCCCCAGCGTATCTACTGTACGTCCTCTGAATGTTTACACCGTCACATCGTGCACTAAAAAATGTTTGTGGTTCTTCACTTTTTTCACGTCACAGGTTTCAGAATGGAGAGTATCGTGCTTCCATACAAATCAGAACGCAAATTAATTCAGCCATTCCGTGAAGTTCTCTCTGAAACATTAGCATATTTAAAACAGAAGCTCTGAGCATTTGACTGCATTAGTCAGAGTGGACTCGTGTAGAGGGGTTTTTTGTTGACACTGCTCAGTGACAGATACTCGGGAGTCTGGCCTGGGGTCCAGCTGGCCCGGTCCCTGGTCTACCAGCAGCTGTCACTATTATGTAGCTCTGCACGCACAGTGAGGACAGTCCCTGCTAAGCCTGTTCCTGCAAAGCCTGTTTCTGCTCACCCTTTACCTCCATAGCCTGTCTCTGCACAGGCTGTCACTGCAAATCCTGTTTCTGCACAGGCTGTTTCTGCACAGGCTGTTTCTGCACAGGCTGTTTCTGCACGTCTTGAATTGATGTGTAGACGCCGACCAGTATCCCCCCTCAGATCCAGAGACAACAGAGGGACTAACAGACAAACAGTTCTGGAAATACATTCAGTCTAAACCCACTTCCTGTATTTGGGTTTCATTTTCACAGCGCAGCAGAAATTAATCTAATTAGCCAAGCTTTTGTTCCTTTCTTGCATATGGCCTAAATTAATGAATTACAGTCAACTAAACTCAGCTGTGAACAAGTCCCCACCGACCCCCATTAATTAAAATCATAATTAAACATAACAGTAGCTGGGAGGACGAGGCTCTGGGCATGAGTGCTCTCAGACACATTGACAAGACGGGGCAGGTTTTTTGTTAAGAGCACCACTCAGGGGGATGATTACCCAAACCCAGGCCTGTCTCACACAGACAGCCACGGGTTACCGGGGGCAACACACAGCATGAATATCTGTGATGTGACTGGACAGGAGGAAGCGGAGGCTGACTGTTTAAGCGATGAGAACGGGGTCGTTTATGCAGACCAAGAGGTGCAGCGGCTTCCCCCTATGGCTGCAGCCCACACAGTGACCCTGCAGGGGTCAAACCGCAGTGCCAACCCTATCCTACAGGGACAGGCTGTGCAGAGACAGGCTGATCAGAGACAGACTGTGCAGAGACAGGCTGATCAGGGACAGACTGTGCAGAGACAGGCTGTGCAGAGACAGCCTGATCAGAGACAGACTGTGCAGAGACAGACTGTGCAGAGACAGGCTGATCAGGGACAGACTGTGCAGAGACAGCCTGATCAGGGACAGACTGTGCAGAGACAGCCTGATCAGAGACAGACTGTGCAGAGACAGCCTGATCAGGGACAGACTGTGCAGAGACAGACTGTGCAGAGACAGTCTGATCAGGGACAGACTGTGCAGAGACAGACTGTGCAGAGACAGCCTGATCAGGCTTCAGTGTATATGACTTCCTGTGCTTTTGCAGCATGCCCCTAGTGGGCACTCGATGAACTGCAGGATTTTGCACTTTTGCATTGGCTTCTGTTTTTAACACTGGAGGTTGACGCTTTGGTTGATACGACTGATTTGACTGACTCAAGTTCGTACTGGTTTGAGATGTTTATCGCAGCAGCAGAACAAAGTTTGTGTTTGATCTGGACCCAAACCTCATCATTCCTCACAGTTTTGGTTTACATGCAAACATTTGGGGAGTTATCACATGTCTTAAACCACCAGTCAGAGCCTGCAGGTAGATGCTTGGTGGTGGCGGTGGTGGGGCTGAAAGCAAAGGTGTTGTACTAATGCAGAACTGGCAACAACAGAGAAGAGGGAGAGACGAGAAATCTTGCAGCATAAAATGTGGAGGATGTGATTGTCAGGTGATTGTGGATGATGTTGCTCACAGGCGTTGCTGCATTTTATTTGGGTCAGTTTTCAGAGTGCTATTCTCCCTACAGGGCAGCTTGAGGGCTGGGCTTGACGACAATGTGCAAAATCACAAACCTTGCCGACGAGTGCAGGAATGTTCATAGAGTTGGTGGCGAAACCCATCCCAAAAATCATGGAAGACTCCACGCCGAGGAACTCAGCCACAAGTTGCTCCAGCTCTTCGTGGATGCTCAGGTTACCTGCAAGAAATAAATCACAAACAAATAAGTCACCCTGACCCGGTCGCTGCACCTGCTGGTTTATCTGGTTAGTCATTTAGTCTCTCGGCTTTGTGTTCTTTATCATCCAATCACAAGTTTTGACGGAGATGAATGCCGACCTGATAAATGTGAAAAAGCCAGAAATGCACATCCTCACTCTCTGGGGGATTTGAAGAGATTTATAGAGATTCAAAAATGTGCTAAATTTACTGCCTTTTTTTCATCCCAGGTAATATTGAGTCAACTCCTGCGGGGGCTGAGAGTGTTCTGCGGCACATTTTGGGGACTGAGGCGGTTGTTTATTGCCCCTCTTGACAGCTGGGGACCAAAAATTCATTTAAGAAAATTGATCAGATTGTAATCTGTCACCTGATGGGGTGTGTTTCTATTTTGTGCAATAAAAAGTGGGCTTTTGGGGGATCTCTGGGGTGCTTTAGGACTGCCCCTGTGGTCAGCGGATAAGAAGAAGGATTACTGTTATAATTGGAAGCTACAAGGAGAGAGGAAGGCAGTGGAAATTAAATATACAGTATTTTATTAAAGCTGGATCTGGGAAATGTTCTACATTATAGAAACAGACAGAAATGTATTACTTCAATAAATGCAAGAAGACCTACTGATATTAAACTGGATAAAACTTTACACTTTACTCGTCTCAAGCGGTAGGCCCGGGTTCACTTCCACTCGTGGCCCCCTTCCGCATGTCATTCCCCGCTCTCTCTCTCTGGTTTCAGACTCTATCCACTGTCCTCTCTCTCTCTCTGGTTTCAGACTCTATCCACTGTCCTCTCTCTCTGGTTTCAGACTCTATCCACTGTCCTCTCTCTCTCTGGTTTCAGACTCTATCCACTGTCCTCTCTCTCTCTGGTTTCTGACTCTATCCACTGTCCTCTCTCTCTCTGGTTTCTGACTCTATCCACTGTCCTCTCTCTCTCTGGTTTCAGACTCTATCCACTGTCCTCTCTCTCTCTGGTTTCAGACTCTATCCACTATCCTCTCTCTCTCTCTGGTTTCAGACTCTATCCACTGTCCTCTCTCTCTCTCTGGTTTCGACTCTATCCACTGTCCTCTCTCTCTCTGGTTTCAGACTCTATCCACTGTCCTTCTCTCTCTCTGGTTTCTGACTCTATCCACTGTCCTCTCTCTCTGGTTTCAGACTCTATCCACTGTCCTCTCTCTCTCTCTGGTTTCTGACTCTATCCACTGTCCTCTCTCTCTCTGGTTTCAGACTCTATCCACTGTCCTCTCTCTTCTGGTTTTGACTCTATCCACTGTCCTCTTCTCTCTGGTTTCAGACTCTATCCACTGTCCTCTCTCTGGTTTCAGACTCTATCCACTGTCCTCTCTCTCTCTCTGGTTTCTGACTCTATCCACTGTCTCTCTCTGGTTTTCAGACTCTATCCACTGTCCTCTCTCTCTCTCTGGTTTCTGACTCTATCCACTGTCCTCTCTCTCTCTGGTTTCAGACTCTATCCACTGTCCTCTCTCTGGTTTCAGACTCTATCCACTGTCCTCTCTCTCTCTGGTTTCAGACTCTATCCACTGTCCTCTCTCTCTGGTTTCAGACTCTATCCACTGTCCCTCTCTCTGGTTTCAGACTCTATCCACTGTCCTCTCTCTCTGGTTTCTGACTCTATCCACTGTCCTCTCTCTCTGGTTTCAGACTCTATCCACTGTCTCTCTCTCTGGTTTCAGACTCTATCCACTGTCCTCCTCTCTCTGGTTTCAGACTCTATCCACTGTCCTCTCTCTCTGGTTTCAGACTCTATCCACTGTCCTCTCTCTGGTTTCTGACTCTATCCACTGTCCTCTCTCTCTCTGGTTTCAGACTCTATCCACTGTCCTCTCTCTCTCTGGTTTCTGACTCTATCCACTGTCCTCTCTCTCTGTTTCTGACTCTATCCACTGTCCTCTCTCTCTGGTTTCTGACTCTATCCACTGTCCTCTCTCTCTCTGGTTTCAGACTCTATCCACTGTCCTCTCTCTCTCTGGTTTCTGACTCTATCCACTGTCCTCTCTCTCTCTCTGGTTTCTGACTCTATCCACTGTCCTCTCTCTCTGGTTTCTGACTCTATCCTGTCCTCTCTCTCTCTGGTTTCTGACTCTATCCACTGTCCTCTCTCTGGTTTCTGACTCTATCCACTGTCCTCTCTCTCTGGTTTCTGACTCTATCCACTGTCCTCTCTCTCTCTGGTTTCTGACTCTATCCACTGTCCTCTCCCTGGTTTCAGACTCTATCCACTGTCCTCTCCCTGGTTTCAGACTCTATCCACTGTCCTCTCTCTCTGGTTTCTGACTCTATCCACTGTCTCTCTCTCTGGTTTCAGACTCTATCCACTGTCCTCTCTCTCTGGTTCAGACTCTATCCACTGTCCTCTCTCTGGTTTCTGACTCTATCCACTGTCCTCTCTCTGGTTTCTGACTCTATCCACTGTCCTCTCTCTGGTTTCAGACTCTATCCACTGTCCTCTCTCTTGTTTCAGACTCTATCCACTGTCCTCTCTCTCTCTCTGGTTTCAGACTCTATCCACTGTCCTCTCTCTCTCTCTGGTTTCTGACTCTATCCACTGTCCTCTCTCTCTCTCTCTCTGGTTTCTGACTCTATCCACTGTCCTCTCTCTCTGGTTTCAGACTCTATCCACTGTCCTCTCTCTCTCTGGTTTCAGACTCTATCCACTGTCCTCTCTCTCTCTGGTTTCAGACTCTATCCACTGTCCTCTCTCTCTCTGGTTTCAGACTCTATCCACTGTCTCTCTCTCTGGTTTCAGACTCTATCCACTGTCCTCTCTCTCTCTGGTTTCGACTCTATCCACTGTCTCTCTCTCTCTGGTTTCAGACTCTATCCACTGTCCTCTTCTCTGGTTTCAGACTCTATCCACTGTCCTCTCTCTCTGGTTTCTGACTCATCCACTGTCCTCTCTCTCTGGTTTCAGACTTATCCACTGTCCTCTTCTCTGGTTTCACTCTATCCACTGTCCTCTTCTCTCTGGTTTCTGACTCTATCCACTGTCCTCTCTCTCTCTCTGGTTTCAGCTCTATCCACTGTCCTCTCTCTCTGTTTCAGACTCTATCCACTGTCCTCTCTCTGGTTTCAGACTCTATCCACTGTCTCTCTCTCTCTGGTTTCTGACTCTATCCACTGTCTCTCTCTCTGGTTTCAGACTCTATCCACTGTCCTCTCTCTGGTTTCAGACTCTATCCACTGTCCTCTCTCTCTCTGGTTTCTGACTCTATCCACTGTCCTCTCTCTCTGGTTTCAGACTCTATCCACTTCTCTCTCTGGTTTCAGACTCTATCCACTGTCCTCTCTCTCTGGTTTAGACTCTATCCACTGTCCTCTCTCTCTCTGGTTCAGACTCTATCCACTGTCCTCTCTCT